CAACATTTGGATGCAAGAGCACATTCCTTCAGCTTGGGGCGAATCACTGATCGTTCCCATTTTCAAGAAACGATGTCGCAGCCATCGCGAAAACCACCGCGGGATAAGTTTGGCCCCAATCGTCACCAAAGAGCTAGCTTCGGTTATACTTCGACGTCTGACGCCCTTAAGAGAGACCAACATCCGTGAACAGCAAGCCGGATTCCGGCCTGGTCGTGAATGCATTGATCAGATTTTTACGTTGCGTCACACCCACCGTCGGCCAACGATCGCAATGTTCCTTAACCTGAAAGGAGCCTTCGACTCAGTTGACCGCGAAGCTCTGATAGGCTGCCTTCTTCGAAAAGGAATGCCCCAGAAGTACGTTAACCTACTGAGGTCACTGTACTCACATACCTCCGGTCGTGTATGGGTCTACAACGAACTAAGTAGGCTATTCGTCACCAGCAGCGGTGTCCGTCAAGGGTACCCTCTTTCAATTTGTTCGTAGACGAAATATTGGAGAACACACTAAGTGGACTCCAAACCGTAGGTATTGAATGGGCAGCTGGAGGAAAGCTGTGCGATTTAGAGCACGCCGATGACATCGTCTGCCTGTTCCAATGTATGGAGGAAGCGCAAAGCGTACTTGATAGGTTAACAAGTGCAGTAGCCACAATCGGTATGTGCTTTGCACCTTCAAAGTGCAAAGAGATGCTGCAGGACTGGGTTTCGTCTAGTCCCGCTCTGAAACTAAATGGCCAGGATTTAGTTATGGTGGATTACTTTTCCTACTTAGATAGTTGCGTGACCAATGACGGTAGCGCAGCAAAGGAGATAACCGCCCGCATTTCCAAGGCTCGAGCAGCATACGCAGGATTCACACATCTTTGGCGTAGATGCGACGTTTCACTGAATTTGAAAGGTCGTGTATATTGTACCACCATTAGATCAGTTCTGCTTTATGGTTGTGAGACCTTGAATTTGCAAGTAAAATATATCCGTGACCTAGAAGTTTTCGATTATCGGTGTTTACGCAGTTTAGCCCATGTTGGATGGAGCGAACGGGTTAATAACGTGGAGGTAAGCCGTCGTGTTTGGGAGTCTATCAGGTATAAACCTGCTAGCACACCACATTCAGATTACTAGGCTTCGCTGGCGTATGCCCAATTATCGTCTGCCGCACTGCGCTTTATTCGCTGTGGCTAACCCGAGCCGGAGGAAACCACGTAGAGGTCAACAGATGACTTGGAGATGAGGCATGAAGAAATGCACAGAACCATTAGGTAGAGTAGGTGTCTCTCACCTTCCAGGTTGGGGTCCGAAAGACTCAATAACTGGTTGGTTGGAGACAGTAAAGGATATGGCAGCGAACCGGCAGCAGCGGCGTTCTTGTGGTCGTTTCCTATCAGGTCAGAATGCTTGAAACGGTATGTATGCGTACTCTGTGTTGACCATAGCGGCTCATCTTCTTCTCCCTCCCTCAAAATAGATCCAATCCCTGTCCACCTTAAATTTTACCACTAACCTTGTATGCGTTGTGAGTTTGACAACAATCAGTGAAGTTCGCTTCACAGTATTTCACTGTACGATGATGATGATGATGAATGCAGCTTCTCATTGTCTGTCTAAAGCAGTTACACGACTAACGTTCAACAATATCCCGTTACAGGCACTCATCGATACAGGCAGCTCTGAGAGCTACCTATCTCAGGCCGTCGTTCAGAAGTATAACTGGAAGATTATATCTTCACGAATTCGGATCACCATGGCGTCCATGGCTCTGTCAAGTGTTACACAAGGCCATTGCTTGGTTTCGATATCATACAAAGGTTCGAGCTATGAAAATATCAGACTATCCGTAATGAAAAGATTATACGCAGATGTACTGCTAAGCCACGATTTCCTCCGATTGCACAAACGAGTGGAACATCTATTCTCTGGAGACAGGCTCATATTCTCCGTGTGCGGGCTTCTCGCAGCGAAAATAGAACCTCAAACCCTTTTTGGTGACTTATCACCCGAATGCCGGCCTATCGCAACTCGGTCCAAACGTCATTCAACACCAGATGAACTATCCATACAAGTCCGGAAATTAATTGATGCAGGAATCATCGAACCGTCGAGGTCTCCCTGGCGGGCCCAGGTTTTAGTAACCTATAATGAAAGACATAAGAAAAGTATGGTCGTTGATTAGAGTCAAACCATAAATCGATTCAAGTACCTCGATGCGCCGCTGTTTCCGCGCATGGACCAACTCATTGAACAGACTGCGCTTTTGATGTATTCAGTACCCTAGACCTGAAAAGTGCCTACCACCAAATACCCATCCAAATAGAAGAAAAGAAATACACCGCCTTTGAGGCCGCTGGAAAGCTATATCAGTTCCGCCGCATCCCATTCGGAGTGACCAATGGCGTAGCATGTTTCCAGCGAACTCTGGATGATATAATCAACAAGGAACAAATATCTAGTACTTACGTCTACGTGGACAACGTAATAATCTGTGGTATGGATGTAACAGAATACAATCGAAATCTACAGAGATTTTTGGATGTGGCCAAGAGATACGGTCTCACGTTTAACGAAGCTAAGGGTAT